TGTTTTTCCTTGTAATATATAATATGTTAAAATAGAAGCATTGCTATTAACTGTCAGAGATGTTAACTCTGAATGACAAGACCACATACCTGAGCCCTGAATTAAAATTGTGAATACTAGATGCCAATAGGAACTGTAAATTAAAAAGACTAGCTCACACAATTTACTAAGGAAACTGAGCCACTGTTCTCTCTAGACCCTCCGACAAAGAGAGTGTTATATTGCAGTGTATTGCACACATTTAAAGAGTTGAACTGTAATATGGGTCTCTTGACTCCTTGTGTAAAAATTATTTTTTCTACTATATATAAAATATTCAGTGAATATCTAAGCAAAACATAGTTAAACTGTTTTCTTCATTCTTTAGAGGATTAGTGATACCTTTCCAAAAGGATTGTGAAATCATTGAACTGCACTTTAGAAATAAAATTTTTGACTTTATTAAGGTCATTAAATTTCTAATACAAAAAGGAACAAGAATAATTAATAGCTGTGTGAACACAGAACCAGATCTTACCATCTTTGAACTGTGCCCTCTTGTATTACTAGAGCAAGAATGATCATCTGTTCAGTATATCCTTAAAAAATGAGAGCATGGATTGTATAAGCAGGTTTATTTCCAGGGATAATGTCTTCTTTCTGACCAGTCTATATCCCAGTAACTTGCTGTTGAACCACGGATGATTTGCACGTATATTGCTTTTTGGGGGAAATGGGTGACATTGCTCCTGCCGATTGTGGCCCCTTTCTAGGTATCTGATCCACTTCTTTCCAAACCACACATGTTAACAGCCACTCATCGGTGATGCTCAAGTCAGCAGCATTGTTAGGAAGGGAAAGGGAAAAGAGGAAACTGGATGCCTCGTAAGAAAGCCGTAAATGATCTATAAAATGCATCTACATCCAGATAATTTCTTCATGAAGTTTTGGGTTGCTATGAAAACCTTAAATGAGAGTGAGTTTCCTGAAATTAACTCTTTAAATAATAGAAGACCATCATGTTTAATACCTCACCCAGCATCTCTGTCCACAATACTAAAACTCTGGACACAGTAAGATGTGGATATGCTGGCTATGTTAAGATATAAATGCTTGTTGCAACTTAATTCTAATCTTTAAACTGTTACTGTGTTTGATAATAAAAACCTATTACACAGTTTCTGTGTGACACATTGCATGTTTTTCTTTAAAAGTAGGTCATGTTTTTATCAGTTGTATTCAGAATCTAATATATATATTTATTTAGAGTGTAATATATGGTTTTGTTAAAAATGTCATTGGGGGACATAAATATATGTTTTATGTTATAAAAATTGTCTTTGCCTGCCTCTGAGTAACAAAGTTGCATTTTTATTACATCTTTAATAATTAGTACTAGGGTTGGTACTTAACATTTTTGCCTTTTTTGGGATTAAGAACAGTAGTAGTGCCTTCTTTCATTGTCTGGAGTTACAAGTGGACATGTTTCTTTGCTTATACTGTAAAGAAGTGATGATACTAATCTCCTTACTTTCTAAAATAATAAAGAATAATATAATAAAAGTTTTTGTATATCATCCTTAATACCCTAAGAGTATTGGCATAAGCTTTGAATTTTCCTTTTGTCCAAAAGTTTGACTTGATAATTTTCACTGTTAATCATGCTTTTCCCTTAGAAGATAAAAATATATCTTGTTAATTTTGAATACTAGTTTCTGTATAGATAGGTCAACAGGTAGACAGATGTGCTTGCCAGATCTTTAGAATACATTTATTTAATGTTCCTAGGCAAGCATCTCAAGTTCAATATTTTCCATGCTCTAAACTGATGCAGGTACAATAATAAGGCCCTTTGATTTTGTAAAAAGCCATGGACACAGGACATTTGTGTGTATAGCAGATTTTAAAGAAGTTTTGTTGTCATGTCCAACAAGTCAAAACAGCTGAAATTTCCCCAGCTGTTTTCTAGACTTGCTTGCTTTTGCAAATATCTGAAAGTATGACCACTCTGGGTTAAGGTCTGAATGTGCATAAATTCTTTGACCTAGATATATTATGTTTGTTATATCCTGAATGCATAAATTCTTTCACCTGGATATATTACATTTGTTATATCCTGAATTACATTGGCTATTTTTGTATCAATGTATTTAGGTTGTACTCAGTTTTGAGTTGAATTCCTGTAGCTGTAACTATGTTAAGGGAAGAAAGAACATTAGAATTGTCTTTTCACTGACAAAATATCCAGCACCTTTTGAGGTGGACATCGCACCTTGGATAATTTTTGTTACAAAGGTATTATTTCCTTTGAACTATTGGATGGTCAGATTTCTACTTACTAACCCTACATCTACTTCTTAGATTTTCTTTTGCTTTTACAAAACTCTCTCTAGGCAGGATAGCTAAGAGTTCCTTCAGATAAAGTTTTAACAGTCCAAATTGAGTATCTCCCAGAGTTCTGAGGCGAAGTCATTCCTGAGGGGTCTGTGATTCTGACACATTTGCCACTTGTCCTGCATAGACTACCTGGAATTTCTCCGTTCTGTACCAGAAGAAGCTAAGTGACTGATAGCAGTGGTCCACGTGACACTTGTCAGTGATCACATGGCAAGTGTCCTCTGCCCACTGTGTTGATAGCATTTCCGATTGTGGTCTTGCCATTGTTCCTTTGCTTGGACTTGTGTTTTCAGTTGCTTTTTTGCTGTTGTCAGGTTTCTGGACTGAGAGTTTTTTAATCCTTTCTTTACTTGCCTAGCACCCCTCTGCATTATCCTTTCGTGGATCTTACATTTACCTGAGAGCAAGGTAAGATGAACCTAATTGGTGCTTGGCCTCTCTTCACAGATAGAGCCACCTACATTTTTTCAGTTTCTTCTGAGCATTGTCTTATTTTTCCTACACTCTTTTTCAGTGATCCCTTATCAGCTCGATCCCAATGTCCATTGTGACCAAGTTCTCAGCAATTCTTACGCAAAACACCAGTATATAAAGAACAAAATAAATATAATAGGAAATGAGATCATTTACAAAAGGAAAGACCAAAAGATGGGAGGAGGAGAAGGGAAGGAACTTAAAGATATGATTTAAGATGTGTTATGTACATGTACCAACTCCCCACAAGGATATAATCATTATATACTACAGGTGTACAAAAGCTGAAATAGGAAGAAGACCATCTTAGAAATGGTACAGGCCTAATCATCCTCCACCTCCCAAATACCATCATGCCTTATTGCCAGAAACTTACACTATGTTATTGTACAAAACAAAGGTGACTTTGTAAGTGTGATCAAGGCAGTCACCTTAAAGGAGATGATTCAGGTGAGTTCAATATTAAAAAAAACAAAAAAAAAAAATCTAGATCTTTAAAAGTTGCAGACTTTTCCAGCCTATGGCCGAAGAGATGCGAAGAAAGACACCCAGAGATTCTGTGTTGCTGGAGTTGAGGACGAGACCATGGCAGGAGCTGCAGTCCCTCTGGGTGGGAGAGAAAACATAGGAATGGGCTCTGAGAAGTGGACAGTGCAGTAAAGAGATCAGTATGGTTTTTGTTGGGTTATGCTTGTTTTTGAACTAAATGAAATGAAACTTCAATATTAAAAACATGAGTGTGTTTATGGGAAAAATTTAACCACACGAGAAAGTTTGGATGGAAAAACTGACTATAGAGAAAAGTTAGTGTTAATATTAGTTTGATAATCTAATGATTAACTGTCATATTTAAAAAAGATACTAGGATTAATGACTGGGTCTAGATAATTTTATCTCCCCGAAAACCTTTAGGTTTTATTCTCTGTTTTTCCTTATAGTGCATTGAAGTTTGTGTTCAAGAATGATGACCACCCCTTCCAGTACCACCAAATTATACCATGCTGTTACTTAAATTTTTCCCATTAAGGAGTTCGTGTGACTAGACTGATCATAGGACCGATTCCTCTTTCCTGAGTTTTTTGAAAGAAATTTTTTTCTTTTTCGAAAAAAAAAATCAGCTAACTCTGCCTGTATTTATGATATTCAGAGAAGCATGGTATACGACCCATGATAAAATCTAGACTCTGCTAACAATATACACCACAGTCACTTCCACAATATGAAGACAGCATAATTGGCACAATACCTATGCCTAGGTAGCATAATGTAGGTTTCCTTATCATTCTCAGGGACATTAACTACTTGAAGACTTTATTTCAGGTTGAAGAATTGGTAAAGAGACATAACATTTTTAAAATTCATCTTTTTAATTCTTGCATCAGCGAGGACAATATTTTGCTGTTTGCCCTGTTCCAGGTGTACATGGGTATACACAAGCCTGTAACATCACTAGCTACAGTGAATTTACTAGACAGCATAGCAAAGTAGGATTAACTAAAGATATATTTTAATAAGAAAAATGTTATAATAATATGAAGACCATTTGTACAATCAAAATATAAATGTATCAGCTCATGTGTGTTACACTTAAGTCACTCTAAACACAGCCATGTGCTTAGGAATGTGTGAAATTCATCAGCTGTTCTCTAAGAGGGTATCCCAAAAACTTCCAAAAGTACCCCAGATATTTGGTCAGAGATAAGAGAAACTTTAAGGCAATCTTCCAAATGAATGTAAACTTTTCTGAAGTGGCCTTTCCAGGAAAGTATTACTCTTGTGAATAGTCTGCACTGACTGATGTTGCTGTTGGATATTTTTAGTAGCACATTTCAAACTAATCATTTTGTGAGAAACAGCTTAAAAATTTGCAATTATAAAAATGTCTGGGGTGCTTTTGCTCAGACATAGAGCAGGAACTTTCTGTTGACTTTTCTGCAAATCCTAAGCGTTTCTCCTAGTGATTTTGTCTTTAGCATCTACAGCTAGAATTGTGTTCGTTCCTAATACTGTTTGTGTCCTAAATATTATGCTCACATATTGAGAAATAATTTGCTACAATTTGACTAATTTAAATCTGAGTTGTGAATTAACGTTTTTTCCTATAGAAGAGTTAAAAATAAATAGTGCTACTTTATTTCAGTATGATGACATTTTTCTGTGTCGCACCTTTTTCCAAAGTGGTATTCAGAGCATGTGAACTAAACTGCACTGGAGTTGTGGATATAGGCCCTTATCAAAGTCTCCTTGTGGCGACCAATTTGTTTCATTTAATCTCCTTCTTAGCCTTATAATTGGCAGAGACCACCAAGTAATTATCTGGATTCATGTCCTTAAGAGTTGGAGATTTGCTTTGGATGGGGGATGTTTTGCCATCCACACGGGAGATCTGCAGCATTCGGCAGGGGTCATGTTTCAACAAATACCCAGCAAAAGTTTCCCATCCGCCTCCCACACGCACCATGACATGTTTGTTGTGCAGCATCTGAAAGGAAAGAAGAGGAAAAGTATCACCTTCTGAGAACCCTTACAGTATCCGGAGTCAACCCCAGTTCTAGTGAAATTAGTGCTGTTCGTCTTGCATCTCACACCCCACTGTTAGGATCCTATGTGCTTTTTTGTAGGCATTTAGCATGTAGTTTATGAGAGAAGCCCTGTTACCGCCATGAAAGTGGATGTGGGGTAAACATCCCCAGAGTCCAGCTTGGCCTCCATTGTGATTCAGTGGGTTTGGAGGCTTCTCCCTGACATTTGCATTATAGCTCTCATTACTGCCTCTGGTTTCTGCCTGTTTCCTCAAATTAGGGCTTCATTCTGCCCACCAGGCTATTTCCTTCTCAACCAGGACTTAGCAAACCATGAGGACTGTAGGGCTAACAGTCATGCCAATACGTGATACAACAGAATTAAAAATGCATTCAGCGAAACTGCAATCTTCCTCAGGCTTTATCTGAGCCCTTCAGGGCAAGGTGCTTTTTCCCATAGCTAAACATTTATGTTTTCCTTTAGTGTTACGATTCCTAATTGCTTTAGAATACATTTAAACAAACGAAAGAAAACAACTTACCTTTAGACCCAGGAGCCCTTTAGAGCTCCAGGTTAACAAAGCTGTAGATCAAAAAAGTAAAAAAATACATGGTTCTTTTTCTCTTGTCAAAACATACCAGAGTTGTGGAGATTTGGCATGGAAAACCAAAGAATTTGACCTTGGCTCCTTCAAATGTCAGAAAATTAAAGGAAGGCAATTACACGGTCACCAAAGATACTGCTGTCCTGCTCTCCCACCCACAACTTTATGGATTGTAGTGGTTATGTAATCTCGGGAGGGAAGGAATTTCACTGTAAAGTCTGTAAATCCCATCGGTTTCCCCTCGCTCTTGTTACCCTGGCATCTGGACTTTGTTGACTCCCATCCAGGGGTGATGGCTTGGGCTCATACACCTACATTTAATCTTGGAGGATCTGAAAAAACAGTGACCTCCTTTATCTATGCCTGTAGCCATAAAATCTTGCATATGTGTTTCTTGTTTTCACAGAATTTAATAGGTCTATCTACAGAATCAAAAGCCTCAACTCGTGGTTGACATGAGGCAGTTTTTTAAATCAAAAATATTATAGAAACTGTTGAAATACCAACAACAGTGACTGAAACTATGACTCAACAAGAATTAAGCATAATTCTACTGGCTATCCATAGCTTTTTTAGAATTTTAGAATAGAAGGAAGCTTAGGAAATATCTTTCAGCTAGAATTCTTTCTTTTCACATTAGAAGTTGCCCACTGGATAAAATCTCAAAAAGAACCACTGAAATAGGAAGCACAGGAGAGGAGTTAGGATTTGACTTGCAAGCCATGGGCTGTCCTGGTCTAGCCAGTGGTACCAAGTTCTTGTACAGACAAAGATACTGAGGACCAGATGTTCAACATGATTTGCACAGGACTCAGATTTTCTGACTCCAGTCTAATGCTTTTCTCATGATGTTTCCTACTAAATTGATAAAATCCATTAAGGTTTTTTATAATTGGTTCAATGTATCTTCATATCGAGAAATATCTCTGTACCACAAACATGAAGACTTTGGAGGCAGGCGGCGGAACCACTGATCTAAGTCCCCGGCAACATTAAGACTTTGGAAGAAAAATGACAAAGGCGAATGACAAAGTAGCATGTGACCCTTTCCCCACACTGGGGCAGAGGCGGCCTTCACCCCTGATACCGATATTTACTTGTTGGTTCCAAACATTCTCAGCAGATATAAAACCTGGTGAACAAACTAATGCAACCAGATCACCAGTAAGAGCAGTGCTTCAATGACTGACTCTGGGAGACAGTGACAGAAACAGAAATATCCTTGAACCTGGAATATACTAATCATTAGGCACATAATCTGTTTGCAAATATTTTTTATTTCTTTGTTTTAGTACTGTAGATTGTACCGGTGACCTTTGCACTGAGCTCTATCTTCAGTCCTCTTTATTTTTTTAATTTTTTATCGAGACAGGGTCTCACTGTAATTCAGGCTGCCTCAAACTCACGGCCATCCTCCTGACCCAGCCTCTCGAGTGCCGGGGTCATAGGCATGTGCCCCCATGCCTGGTTTATTTGCAGACTTTTCCAATGAGTCTGCTGGACTCTGTTAAGTGGATTCAACACGAAAGTCCATGTGAGTAACACAGGAATTCCATTTCTTCCCATGTGCCCCACTTCCTCCCTAGGGAAGATATGGATTTCAGTCTCGTATTTTTCAAACTGTGAATAGCTGATGATCAGCTGAAAATACTTTTATATATATATATATCTAAGTTCATTTTCCTACATTGCCAAGTGGAGGCTAATGGACATAAGTTTATTTGTGCGGTAGCTTCAGTCTTCTGAAGTGTGGCCTCAGCTCCTGGAAGCGCCTTTACTGAGAGCAGCAGCGGGGGAGGCACAGGCATTTTCCTAATCTCTAAGAGCTCTGTTGATGGAGTGATGGTCCCTGATCGTGGGAATGTGTTGGCTTGTCATTTTTTCATCCTGACATCTGAAATGTGGCTTTCCTGTAATTATTTCATTCTTTGTTTTTTGTTTTTTTGATGGCATTCTGTAGGCAGTCACTGCAGAGCTGTTTTTCTCCAAAGGCATAGACTGAACATCTTCCCACTCTCAAGCTTTTCATGGAAGCAAGGCACAGATAATATAATCATCATACAATTAGGAGAGATTTTCTTTTCCTTTTTAGAAACATACAACTTCCTGTAAAACATTTTCTCGTGGCCTACTTGAGACACTGATTCACTGGAAATCTTAAGATCGTGGCTTTGCTAATACAATAAAGGGAAGTTGCTTTCTTGTTAAGGAGCCTACGATGTCTCAGGCTTCATAGTATACTTTAGTTTCCCAGTTCTCCAAAGATACTTTTAAGCCTTTTTCCTGATCTTCCTTCCGGATTCACACACAACTCTGAAATGTGGGTCCTTATAAATTCTTCAGAACTGTGCAATGCTTCTCTTGTGCCTTGGAGCCAGCTTTCTGCGCTTTTCCTTTACTGATCCTAAGCTATGTTAGAAACAAAAATAAATACATACATAAATGCATTGACACCTGTCATTAAGTGCTTTCTTCTAAGGCCTGATCAACTAGAGTCTGTGTACATGTATTTATCAACAATACTTACATTAAAATAGATCTGCTACATCTTCAAGGACAAATTCTGACTCCATATTGAAGAGGAGTAATTACGAAACCTGTTACCTTTCTTCGTGCTTCAGTCTGGTCACCTCGGAATGGAGAGGGTCTTAGGCTGGTGTCATTAGGCAACAGGTCCCAGCATGGGATGAAGATATTAAAGTCATAGAGATTGGTCACCCTGATTGTAAAGATTTAATTTCTTTCTTTATTTTATTTATTGATTTTACTTTGGGCACGGTCTCAAAAAGAAAAGAATTTAACACCAACCCCATCTCCATGAACAAAACCTCTAGGGTTTAACATGAAAGCAAATTAACTTCCTACAAACCAAATAAATCGCTCCTAACTCACCTGCCCTCCCTTCCTGTGCTTGCAGAAGAGCTCAGCTGATTTAGAAGGTAGATTTTTTTTCACACTTGCTCTAAGAACTCAATCCATTTTAAGGACTTGGAGATTTGTAATATTAGAGCCATTGCCATTACTTCTTAATTCTCTTATTTTTTCCTTGGTCAGTTCTGTGTAGTCTTTTCTCTATCATTGTCAGATACACTACCTATCTCCTCTCTAATTGGTCTGCCGGTCGCTTCACCTTCGTCAGTCTGGCTTTCTCTCCCTTCGTACTGCCACCAGGTTATTTACCCAAGTCTAAACTTGGCCTTTCTCCACCTTTCTCTTCTCAAAAAGAAGGCCAAGTCTGATTTCTCCCAGCACATCTTAACCCCCACTCTACATCACTCTAGCCAGAGTACTTTCCTCCTGCATCTGAACCCCTTCAGAGTCAGGTTTACACTAGGTGTACGTCCTCCTCTCTTCTTAATTACTACGCAACCCACAGAGCATATGGCTTCTGCACTCTCGCTCTTAACTGGGCCCACTGGCAAAAGGAAACACATGGCTTGTAGATGCACCAAATCCAGTTGATGGCCCCTAGTCTTCTAACTAGATTAACTCTGTCTTGATGAACCTGTCAAGCAAGATCTCTGATGACACCCGACTGCTCCTTCCTGAAGCGCCCTGCTCCTTGACGACCTATGACCAGACTCTTTCCTGGATCGCATGCTGCCCCATTCATTGCTCTGCCGTTTTCGTGGGTTCCATTTAATCTACCTTTCCAAGTTTTGCTCTTTCAAAGGATTCTGAATGACTCTGAGATTTCTCTATTGCTCTTTTCATTCTAACCTCTCTCCATTTATAATCTTATGATTTTCACTACCGTTTACTTTTATCTCTCAACTTACAAGCGTAGCCCTTGCCTCTTCCCCTAACTTCAGAAGGCAAAGGCCTCCTGGGCCATTATCTTCCTCAGAGGGATGGTGGTGTGGGCTCTTTCTGTAACCAGATACCAAAACATTCATTTACCCCGAAGGTTTTTTCAGAGACTTGATACCCTTGCTGCTATTTAACTGAGCAGCTCAGCTTTTCCCCAAGCTCCTCTGAGGGTGTTGCTGCCTCTAGCACTGCCCCCTCTGATTACCGAACAGTCTCCAAAGGGATTTCCTAAACTGCAAACTTGATTTCCTTGTCTTCTGTCTAAATACCTTCATTAGTCATGTCTATCTGTAGGCTGAGATTCACGTTTATTTATTTGCATATATTATTTGCCGAGCCTGCCAGCCTTGGGAGCCCTCCCCTGTGCTCAGGGTCTCGTGGATTATTTAGTTCTGTTCTCCCAGGTAACAGACATCTCCTTCCATATTTTTGCATACTAGCTCCTAAATGTGGAATATCATTTGTGCTCTGCTCTCTCTACTTACCAGGCCCCCAACCTTCCCCTAGTACCAGTGTCACCTCCACCTGAAAAATCTGCCCAGATC